TTTTGAGTTTTCTGACAACGTACCTTCAGATAATCTTTACTGAATAAAAAGGAAAGAAAAACACATTAACATGTGGTCAGCCAGTGTTATAATACCTCATGATATGCAGTAAAATGGTGAAAACAGGCTGAGCGTGATGATTACAAGTTGCTGAATTTCCTTTATAAACCAGAGGCTCCTTGGGGACTTTACAGTCCTCACCACCGTGGTTATGAACGAACGGGTATTCAAGACAGAAGAGTAACATCGAAATTATGGTATTAGAAACTCAAGTCAGGCATGTATTAGTTCACAAAGCTGTTGTAATTATATGTAAATACTACATTAAGGCATCACGGTCTATCTTCATAAATTGGGTCGGAAAGATTTTGCGTTACTTTGGTTTTTCTCTGTCTGGCCTCAAAAATATTCACTTTATAGATAAAACAGGAAATTTTTGTTTGAATCACAAACGCTTTTTAAAGCTTGCCTATAATTCTCAAAGTTCGATTTGATGGGATGTAAATATTTACATTCCAGAGGGCATCACTTACCATCATTACCATTAACAATAAATCATGCTTTGTTACTGTAACATATTGTTATGACCTATGCACACTAAAATTTTTCATAGTAAACCAATGCTGTAAGAAAACTGAAAACAAGGTAACTCAACAAATTATTCTCAATAACCCTGAGAAGGAGCTTTTAATTTAGTTCGAATGAGTGAATCTACAAATCATAAGTCTAACTAAATGATCAGTTGATATAATTTAATGCAACAGCCTTCTGAACGAAACACAATTATTTTTATGATTTCGATAGTTGAATTGCTTGAAATCGATCACATAAAGTTGAGTAAACTGGTCTGAGGCCTAAAATAAGGGGTGAAGTTTTGGTTGTCTCTTTAAAATAAGGTTCTTTTTTAAGTGATAGTATTAGTAATAGGTTTTTTAACCGTATTTCGATAAGGTTTATGATGTAAGTGACACTTAAAATACCCAGACTATGTTTACCTGCATTAATCTCATAAAAATAGCTGTATCATGATTAGAGAAGCATTGATGTTTTAAAAGTTAGTTCTTCTCTCGTCCCTACCTAGTACTCGTTTCCTATCGACAGCATTGTTTACTCGGTTGTCCCAGGATATACGAGCAATGCTTCGGAGACACATGTGATCGAAAACCAGCAAGCTACGAATATCTTCTTCTCTGACGGGCCATGTTTCGCAGCCATAAAGTAGGACGGAGCTCTGAGATTTCACAACACACTAGGCCATCAGCACCGATTAGACTTCCAAGATAACTGAAGCGATCGACACTCGCAACTGTTTCACTCCCTATTAATAGTTCAGGTGCCAAACCACTCCAATCCTGAAGAAACATTCTTTGGTACTCCTTTTAATGACAGACGATGTTACAGAGCCTCACGATCAAGAGAGTCAGACACTGCATTAGGGTCGCGGAATACAACAGTTCTGGGACTCTGAAATGTGTGTCCATATTCTAGGACCTGAAGCAGTGTGAACATGTGGTTTATACAGTCACGTCTAGTTCTGAAACAAGCCTAGTTTTCTCTAGTCTGTTCTTCAAGAGCTTTAGTTAGGCGTGTAAATATTATTGAAGCTAATATTTTGGATACTCTATTAGTTATTCCGATTCCTTGGTGATTTTCATGAGAGGACGTTTGTCCTTTCCTATAAACTGGGACAATCAGTGATTAGCACCAGTCAGATGGGAGTGAGTCTAGATCACAGATGTCAACTACCCGACACTGCTCGAGATCGTTGTGTAGGCTTCTAATCAGTCTGCAATTAAGCTAAATTCGCTATTCACCACGTTTAGAGCCAGATGCGATGAATTTCCAAGCATCTTTCGGTTCGGTAGATGTTACAGAAACCACGACTCCTCCCCAATCTTATGGTTTACCATCTAGCAGATATCACTGCTGTTTCCACAGCTTTTTGGATATTATTCCAAGCTGCCTGAGGGTGAGCATCACTTGTCCGCCTTGCTGTGTTTTAGTTGCTCCTGAAGTACACTCAGATTTGTTATCATTAAGTAGGACCCTAGGAGGTTTCTTTGCAGTTTCTTTCCTACGCCCAGTGAGATGCAGGCAAATACGCGATCACATTAGAGCATGATCTGGATCTAAACATATACTCCAGAATAAGCGACAGTCTTCAATGGAGCCTCTCCATCTGTGGCTGATGGCAATGTGGTCTAGGTGTGTCCAGCGTTGAGTTGGCTTTGGGGATCGCCATGTCAAAAGATGTTTTTCTTCATGCTTAAATTTAGTAATTGTCAGAAACATGTAGTTATCTGATCACTGTCGCAGCAGGCGGTCACGACACCATAAAATCTACCCAAGTGTCTTTCTTACACGCTTACGCTACCTACCTGAGCATCGAAGTCACTAACTCCTGTTACTATATCAGAGCGTCTAACTTTCTTAAGGATATCGGAAGGCTTTCTGTAAAATTCGTCTTTTACCTCGTCTGAACTGTAGTCAGTGAAAGTATAGGCGTAGAAAAGAAAGAGGCTACGGCAAATGTCTCTATCTTTACAAGTCCTTATCTACTTTAGTCAGACAGCTCATAAACGACTGTCTACTGAAATCCAGTCTAGGAGATTTAGTTCCGTCCTAGGACTTAATGCTATACCTACACCAGCGTGGCCACGGGAATCAGCAATGTGACTTCTAGCATACATCAATGGCACGAAATTGTAGAGTCCTAGCTAAGAAAGCCTGTTAACCTATTTGGCACGAGGTTTGGACACTGAAAGATCCAACAAGTAGTTTAGAGCGTGGTTTCAGGAGACCTGGAATAAGGTTTCGTATACTCGATTAGTTTGCATCAACAGCTAGAAGTGATAAGGAAATGTGAGAAGTGTTATTTATAAAAATAACAGAGTTATTAAAAGGGGTATAATGGATAGTGCTTTGAGTTTTATTGTTCTCCAATCGCCCTGCCTGGCATGATAAGACTTAAACGAACATGTATTTCGGCTATTATAGTTCGGCTGGGTCATCAAAACAAGCAAGCAACCACGTCAAGTTAGCAACTACATTCGGGTAATTGGTCAGTCTTGATTGGCATAAGTTCATCCTGACCGGATAGCATTGATAATATAAGTCATTCATAAGTCTTAGTAAAGTTGAATTATGACTGGTAGTGGTATCTATACGGCATGTTTCAAATGATTCGACATTCGAAAATACCTGTATCTCAGTGTTGGTGTTTTCACACTAAAACTTGAACCCAGAGCCTATAACCCAAAAGGCCAGCCACAAACGTTTGCAATTATTCTCTGTTTAATAGTAGAATGACTAGTTTCTTACTAAGTTTAATGGTTTGACATTTTAGCTATCAAATTTGATCCTAAAGGCTCTTAAATAAAGTCTAGATGTGTTGGTAAGGATTTCCATCCACATCTAGGTTAGCTGCTTGTGATAAAATCACTAAGTATATGAACTATTTGGTTTCTACAGCTGAGTTTAATGATGAAGAACAGGAAGATTATTTGGGTTAACTATATGTACTACTATTATTATTTCAGTAGTTCGGCATGTTGACAACAAAATTGTCTACAACTGAATCAAGGGTTAAAATAAAATTTACCGATATTTAGACTCACTATTAAGGACTCAGTAAGTAAACCCTAATAAGTAGCATAAAACATAATTTTACGAACAGAAATTTGATCTTCAGTAAGAAACACTATTACTTTTAGAGCAACCATATAACGGTCAATTCATGGAGGGCTATTTGGTCAAAGCCCGCTGATTAGTTTAAGTGATCCACGGTTTTATATGATGTAAAGCATGACTTATCATAGTGTCAACCATAATATCACATGTTTAAATTATACAAGATAGCATGCTCTAGTTTTATGATTTTTTATGAAGACAGTACAAATTTACAAAAAGGTAATCTAGGCTTTTTCTGATATCATAAAAATGAGTAAGTAGGAATAAACTGATGATAATTGCATGTATTTTATCAGTTTTTTTTCAATTACAGTTATGAAGATCAGTGTTCTTCACATTGAATAAATCATTGTTAGATGAGTCTCATACGAGGACAAAATGGCCGACCATTGATTCCGGGTTTCTAATTGTGGTCAAACTATGATTAAATCATGATTTCATTGTGTCAAAACAATGATCTCCATAACTCTAATTAAAATATCATACAATGTGTTCACAAGTGACTAGCTTCGTGACGAAATTCTCGGAGTTCTAGTTCCCTAGATTTATCAGAGTTGGACATTACCACTGTTGGATGCCGGCCCAAATCACGAGATAAGGCTTCCTCGACTACCGCGAGTAGCTGGTGTCACGGATACTGACTGCTGATAAGTCCCATTCCAGGACCAGACGGTCGTCCAATGCTTCCAGGTTTCTAATGGCGGTCTAACAATGATTGATTGATATTTCTTAAGATTTAGATGACTCTACAAAAGGATGAAGAAATCATCAAATTATTCCAACAACTAACTTTACATTTTGTTGCAACATCAGCGAAAACCTCAAGAATTCCAGTCGTAAATGAAATGAATTTGGAAACCTTCAGGTTGAATCATTTTAATAAAGGAGAATTCCTCATTTATATATCAAAGTTTTGATAAATTGTAAATAAGTATATGGAGTTAATCTAGTAGATTTCATTTATTTTTTCACGGATAGTTTTATCTCACTAAATTTTCATAAGAATATCTATCAATGTCAAATGATTAAAATGAAAATTTTTCGGTGAATTTTCACCAACTTATTTTATCTGAACATTTCAGGTACTTGCTATTCTGTTGTGTATACAGTTTTTTCTTACGCTGTTATCTAGTTTTAGTACTGTGTCTATGTTAGGATATTCAACAAATATCCTAAAGCCAGTGGATCATTTGTCTCGATCTTGTTTACCGAGTGAGCTGAATTCATAATAGTTTCAAGCATATCAATCGACGCATCATAACAGTCTATTTATTTTCAATCGTTCTTTTTTTCTAATTTTCATTTCAGACATGAAAAAAATCAATTTCACATATCAAACCAATATCTCAAGTCAAAATCATTTCCTTTTTAAAGTAATCTGAAATAGTCAACTATTTCAACTGACAATTATCTCTCTCTCTCTTTCTCTCTCAGCAGAATCTTCCTCATCATCATCCTCATCATCATCAGCAGAAAATGTATTTTAAACATTTCAATCAATCGACTAATCTATTGAATACTTATGATGGTAAATTTTCCCTATCACATTCCATTGTAGTGTTCTTTTTAAATGCATTAATTTAGTTTTTCGTTGATTTTTTTGTTGTTGTTGTTTTAGTTTATGCAGAAGCTCGTTGTTTATTAAATGAATGGATGATTAAAAACACATTGAACAATGAAAATTTCGAAAATGCCACTGATGATGATTACGAGCCAATCAGCATTACTCCTAGTCGAAAAGAAATTAAACGAGAATGGGATCATCTTTATCAAATTAACAATTGGGGAAATGATGTAAGTTGTGAGAAGATTTGCAAAAAAAACACTTTAACAGTCAGTCAGTCAGTCCGTCGAAAAATCGATATTTCTTAAGTGTATTACGTTTCGAATTCAGTTATTTTTTTAGTTTTAAGTATTTGTAAATTAGAATATTAACATATCTCATGGTGTAGTGAAGGAGAACACGGGTGGGGCAACCGAATTGTATTTAACGAAAATTACAGGGTGACTCAGTAAAATCGGAAAACCATATCATAAATCGTTAATTTGCAAAATATCAGTTCATCATATCGAACTGGACTGTTCCTGTTGCAAAACATCAATCCATTGTCACTATTCATGCGTTTCATACAAATTCCATTGTTTTCTAACTCTTCCTTTCTTGATCTTCCCCCCATCTTCGGCTGCCAGACATTACGTTTTTACTCGCGTCATATATTACTTATAAGTAGCTCGCACCACAATGTAATCAAAATGGTTAAGGTGGAATTTTGTCGCTTTTTGAGTTGGATGTTTCGGTGGTGGAGCTTTCAGTGTTCTTTTGAACATCATCATTAGCATAAATTTCAGGTGGATGTCTACATTGGAAGCTCCATAACCAAAAAATCCATCTCAGAGATTGAAAGTCCACTCAAATCATCCATCAGAGCTGCAAAATTCCTCTACCCTTTGATAATCAGAATGACTGGATAGTGTCGTCGGACTTCACATAATATTTCTAATCGATAGTCGTACGCTGATTACAGCAGATTTCTTGATGTAATAATTATTTTGATAAAATGATACACAGGATTTGTTTGTTAGGTCAATGCTTTTAATGGTGTGTTCTCGGATGTGGATGGTTTGATGCGGAATGTTTTATTTTTGTTGTGCATATTCATTATATTAGCTGTTCTAGTTGTAGAATTGAACTCTCTATTTGCTTTACAACAGCTGAATCAGTCTGTCCCGATGTTATTATTTATGCCTAGTTCTAAATGTAGGTTTTGTATATTTATTAACTTTTTCATTCCCTCCAACTGTCTCATTTATTTGAACACTGTTCATATGATTTTTCCGTCTTCTTCGTACCGATTAATAAACTAGATTACAGATTGATCTAAATACTGCCTCAGATTTTGATGTATTTACTATAAATGTTAAACAAACATTAAAAACCTGGAAGGCCATTTCGTTCCAATGTGGGACTCATCAGCAATGCGCATCCACGATTCCTGCGACTCGCAGGATTTGAACCTACGACCTTCGGTTTTGCGCATCCTCATCTTCGGCGGTCTAGCACTGATTTCGAAAAGTCAGCGGTTTCCATAACCCCATAATGCATATTTATCATAGTCTCAGAGTGTATCACTGCTGAAGATAAAATTTCATATCCTCTCACTATAAGTGCATTACTATCTTATGCATAAATTATTTATTTTCTTCGATAACTCAATTTTGTTGTACATAGAAGAACAAAGATGAGGATACTGTCTAACCAGTTGAAATATCAAATAACGAAACATTAAGGACATAATATCAATTATTTCTTGATTCGTATACTGAATGTTTACTTCTCTGATCACCTTTAGCATACACCATTCTCCATCAAATATGTTTAAACTTATGGATAAGAGGTTTTTTGTTAATTGGCTAGTTGAAGGAAATCTAAGCACAACCAGAACAAGACATGATATCACTTCATGAAGTCCCTAACATTTGGGCCTAGTCGTGTTGGCAGCTTCAGATTACACCTGGTCGGCATCTGAGCAATTATTGAAATCTATAGTTGGAGATGTTATGTGGGAATCAGTTACATTGGTTCAGATGCACGCACTTTTTGTCTTTCATTTGATTCTGAGATTCGATATTATCTCGCATTTTTTCTCTTCTCCCCTTGAATTGATTCTTTCTTCTCGAATCATATCGTTTATAACTAGTTATTTTAACACTACTAAAAATGTTACTATTTCTTGATAATTTCATCTTTTTGAGCTAATCTAATGTGGAAACGTGAACCGTTGCATATATATGCCAGGTTTTCCCTTGCTAATATAAGACTGATTAACATTGAATGTTGAGAAAAAATGCTAGCTTTTGTCAACAAAACCTGTAATGTCCAGGAATGAACTTGTTAACTCAAGGCGATAAATAATTTTCGTTTCATATTTGTGTTTTAACATTTTAAAATGTTTGGCAAAAACAAAAGACCAAACTAATTTACAACGGCTCTGATTGAGATTGATTAGTTTTTTTAAAGAAGTTACTTTGATTATGGGGTTGTTGAGATTGTCGAGCTACTCATCATTGAAATCGTTAATCGATCATTGTTGGACCACCAACAGGAAGCACTGAACAGATGTTTCGTTCTGGCATGGAACTCATCCATGAGTCCTGTTCCTTGCAGGATTCGAACCCAGGACCTTCGGTTTTGCGCGCGAACACCTCGCCGGTATCTAACGGTGTTGATGTCTAACTTCGATTACGGTCTTGCGCAACCTCATACACTGTCTTCGGTGGGCACTATTTCATACCCAAACAGGGTTGAACTTCAGTACTTCCAGGTTTCTAATGGTGGTCTAACAGTGATCGATTCATGATTTCAATAAGTAACTCAACAATCTCCACAACCCCATAATGCAAAAGTAATTTTTGTATTAAATTATTTTAATGTTGTTAGATTTTCAATTTAATGATCAACTGAATTCATCATTTTGGGGTAACTGCTTGTAATTCGGCATGATTGATCAATTTTTTTAATATATTTGCTCGTAACATATATCAACAACCGACAATTACAAACCACTATGTAGTTTTTCCACCCGTTGAATAAGTTGGCAGTTAACTGAACTCCTCATCTTGAAAGATAATTTGTCAGAGCCTTAATTTAAAGGTGCCGAATTTGAATTTAATGATAACACAACACTAGGATAGAGACAAATTCATCTGATGAGCCTTAAATAGGACGACATACATGTCTTTGCTTTTAGTGTTATCCTCACACTAAATATCCCAAGTTTACTGTATTTAGTACTTTAATGTCAATATTTACATATTGTGAGGTGATTTTTTAAATGACAAACTAGCAGCATATAGTGAAGTACTGGAAACTAGAGACGAGTGGGCATCACTCGGGTACTTTATCCACATTTAATATTTCGTGGCTGTGATTACCGATTACATTAAATAGAAAAAACACCAATGACTTTCAGGATATCGAATCGTTTCCTTAGCTTCCAGATATCTTTCAGCATATATCAAACTGATCATATTTATCTACTGTGTTGGAATTTTAATCAATGAAGAACCTAGCTGATTCAACTACTTTGGTTTGTTTTCAGAAATTTTAACATCTTAACATGTCAATCCATAAGTGAGTGTTGGCTTGTAAAGAAATCCTAATGAATCTTCGTTTACTTACTTACTTACGCCTGGTACGCCTAGTGGAGCATAGACTACCAACCAGCATTCTTCAGCCTACTCTATCCTAACCCTTCCTTTCTAGTTCTATCCAGTTGGTGTCCATTCTCTTCATGTCTGTCTCTGTTTCTCGGCGTAATTTGTTCCTTGGTCTTCCTCTTTTTACCTGGCTCTGAGGATTCCAAGCGAGGGTGTGTCTTGTGACGCAGTTGGGTGTTTTCCTCAATGTGTGTCCTATCCACCTCTAGCGCTTCTTTCTGATCTCTTCCTCTGTTGGAATCTAGTTTGTTTCTCTCCCACAGTAGGTTGTTGCTAATGGTATCTGGTTAGTGTAGAGAATCTTTGTTTTGTTTAACATAATTTTATGTTATACAGATAAACATTCTAAAATGACATCACTAAATTGTTTAGCTTATAAAATGTCACACTATTACAACAATGACATAATTCTATGGACTTATCAATCTCACTGTGTGTGTGTGATTATTTTTTGGTTCAAATTTCAGTTTACAGATGATGATTATGAAGTGAAAAGTATGCACTATTTAGAGCATGATTCTAAAACTACAAATTCACATCATTCGGACTATTCATCGAAACGTCATTCAACATTGGATAAAATTCTTTTACGTCAAGAAGAAGCTAAAGCACGTCGTGAACTACGTCAAAAAGAATTGGAATCACGTCGTCTACGTGAAGCGAATGATCGACAAATGAAAGCACAAATTTTATACAAAGCAAAACAAGTATGTATGATTTTGTTTCTTAAAATTAGTTATGTATATATATATATTTTTTTGTACAGATCATTCATTCAACTAAATAATTTGAATGTTTCTACTACGGTGCATGTGTGTGTTTAGAGTTATAAATTGATTGATTTGTTTCCTGCTACTCTTCATAATGCTTGATTCATAATCATATGTTATACTTCTATTAATTGTCAACATGTCGGCCCAGTGGTCCGATGGTTTGGCGTTCGCGCGCAATACCGAATGTCCCTGGTTCGAATCCTGCGGGGAGCAGGATTCGTGAATACGCACTATCACTGATGAGTCCCATACCAGGACGAAACGTCCGTCCAGTGCTTCCAGGTTTCTAATGGTGGTCTGACATAGATGGATTGATGATTTCGAATGTGTAAAAACACAAATCTCCAAAACTCCAACCGAAAATAGCTTTTGTTACAGATTGACATGAAGTGAGATGGTGAAGAAAGTTTGTAGCTCAGGTGGATGATTGTGGTGGTGTTTAGTTCTCTGAGTTGGTTGTTTTGGTTGTGTAGCTTTCATTTTTCGTCTGCTGAACAATATCATCAGCACAAATTTCAGATAGAAGTGAAGCATTCGAATTTTTCAACGTCTGACCTGTAGCTTGTTCTGCTAACCTCGATCTTGATTGGTTGTTGTTGACCTTAAACCTGTCGTTGTTTGCACCTTTGTTTTGATTGTATCCCCCTTTTGATCTGTTTCTTGATCCTATGTCACCTATGATTTTTCTGATTGGTTGATAAATTGGGTTAATGTCGATGCGTTTGTTGATTGCTGATTGACCTGAGTGCTAAGCTTCTAAAAATTCTCTAGTGTGCTTTGTCCTCCCCTTATCCAGTATTTCCACATTGTCCCATTCGAATGTATGTCCATTGTTGTCGGTGTGTATTGATATGAGCGAAGAAATGTCATAGCGTTTGACTGCTAATTGGTGTTCACGTAAACGAAGTTGATGAGGTTGTCGACTTTGTCCTATGTAGTGTTTTTCACAGTCTGAGCAATCTATTTTGTATATGATATTTGGTTTTTCTTCATTTGTCATTTTGTCCTTTGGTCTACATAGGATTGATTGAAGTGATTCTGTTGGTTTATGTGCCACACCTATTCCAAATGGTTACAGTAGTCGTGCTGTATGTTTCGGTATGTCGTTTATGTATGGTAGGATGATCCGTTTATTGGTTCCTGTACTTGATTTCGCATCAGTTGACGATTTCGGTTGATGTTTTTTGATGAAGTTGCGTGGATAGCCGTTCTTTTGGAAGATAGTCATAAGATGTTTTTCCTCGTTTTTTAGTGCCTTATGTGTACTGCATTATGTCTTCGCTCTTTTGAACAAAGTTTGTATGAAGTTGATTTTGTGGGTTCTTGGGTTGTTGCTACCGTCGTTGAGAATTGCGTCTGTGTGATTTGGCTTCCGAAATACTCGAGTTTCCAGTTTCCCTGCGTTAGTTCTGGTGATTAGTACATCTAGAAATGATAGACTGTTGTTTGATTCCTTTTCCATTGTGAATTTGATTTCATCGAAGATGTTGTTGATCTGATTGTAGATGTTCTTTAGCTCGTTTCTTTTGATAATGACGAATGTGTCGTCTACATAGCGAACCCACATTTTTGGCTTGATCACTTACGAAATCGACGCTTCTAGTCTCTGCATTACAGCTTCCGCGATGAGTCCTGATATTGGTGATCCCATTGGTGTTTGTTTTATTTGTTCGTAGACTCTTGTTGAATTGAAAATACGTTGTTAAGATTATGGAATAGTGGATCTCTGTTTCATTATAACATGAGACATGACATGTTGCATGATAAACACTGTGTTGATCTACTGTTATCCATGTTTCCAAATTCACTTAACTTGTGATATCGTATCGAGAGACTTCTTCATATATGACGTTGTAGAACTCTATTAGTTACACGATTTGCATGAACTTTAGAGGTCTATCATAAAATCAGTCACTACTGATCATCTATGAAAGTTCAGGATTCGATCGTGAGCGAGAACACAGGCACACAGTGGGGATTGAGTCCCATTGTGGAATGTAACAAATTTCAGAAGCTCTCTGGCCTTCAATAACTCTTGTACTAGTGCATTTGAGTGAAGAAAGTTATCGTCTAGTCAAATTAATTTTTAATGAGCTTTTTATCCCAATACTCTTAATCTATTTGTTTTAAGTTTTCTTGAATGCTTCTTCCTGATTTTAATGTATTTCCACTCAAGTTTCATTTTGTTTTATATAGGACTGTGATATGTTAGAGGACTAATTTTTAAAGAAAGTAGATTTTGATATCGTATTCACTTGTTCTACACCGATCTTCGATAAATATTTAGCATCACTTAGATAATAAAGACGAAATCAGGTTATTGAGTTTTTGGAATTTCACAGCAAAACCTAAGTGTTAGGGACGCCAGATCCCTAGGACTCACTAGATAAAGGTCCTCATTTTGAATTTTATGTTTTCACGCATGGGCTGATCAGTTGACCTAGAGATTACATTTCCCACCCGGAAAATCCTTGACCGTCATTGATGTGTTTGATGTGTTAATTTAGTACGCTATTTTTATGGCCCTCCCAAGGACGTTTCGATTATGTACAAATAAACTGGATTTGTGTGCGTGTCAACCTCGATTTCCAGGGTGCTTATAGAATACACTTACTACGTCTTGTCAAGACTTCTTCTCCTACTTAGTGGGGCTTTGGGACGCTCGGATTAGAGTAGCCTATCGTGTCACTGGATCATTTGTCTTCGCTCTCGTTTACCGACTAAAGTGAACTCATAATAGTTTCAAGCGTATCAGTTGACGAGCATAACAATTTGGCGACGGGAATAAGGTCACATGGATCCTCCTAGACTCAAATTATTATCCGAGCAGCAGCTGATAGATAACGAGCTACATCATTTATGGTTTCTTACAGAGATTACAACCAAAGACGTTATCCACAAGTTTAACAACCAGCTTCGAGTAACATCGTATTCACTTGTTCTATACCAATTTCAAATAAATTTTTGGATTTACTTAGATAATAAAGACAAAATCAGGTTATGGAGTTTTTGGAATTATATAGCCAGACCTAAGAAACAACATGGTTTTTTACGGAGATAACACCCAAAGACGTTATCAACAAGTTAAACAATCGGCTTCGAGTAACAACTATCAATGTTTAATTAAATAAGTTCTAGTCGATATTTTGTGTCTTATGGTAAAAGAATCCAAGATAAGAAAAGATTGATGAATCCCTTTCTCTCACACACGCACACACTCTCTATCTACATGTAAATGTACACATATTTATACCATTATATCATAAAATTCTCGAATGAATGTTGTTATTACTGATTGTGTTTCATGTTGAAAACAGGATGAAAAATTGAGGCAAGCAGAAGAGAAACGAGAAGAAGAATTAATTCATCAGGAGATGGTTCGAGTACGGAAAGAATTAGAACTAGAAAAACAAGCATCCATTAAAAACAAGTAGGTTTTGAAGATTAAATTTATTTGCAAATACGTCATGATGATAACTTAATAACAAACAGTAATAAGGACTTCATGAAAGAAAAATTGGTTGTAAGAACATAGAATATATTAAAATAAGAATAAACGAAAATATAAAAGAGTCCAGGAACAAACAAGGGAAAAAAAATTAATGCCGATAATCACAATGGACCTAAAAAAACGAAAAAAGACAAGCAAGAACGTTAAAAACAGAAAATAAAACAGATGATAAACTCAGATAGGTAAACAGTAAATAAAAAAAGGAAAAAAAAGAAACACAAGAATTACTGGAAAAATTCATGCATAAAAAGAATGAAAATTAAACAAAGCAAACAGGATAGCTAACGGAAAATTAGAAAACAGAGCAGTGTAAGAAGTAACCGAAAGAAAATGAGGCGAAACCAGTTTTTCACCCGACTCCGATGCATCTGGAGTACATGAAACGAGATGATTATCGCCACAGAATTGTGTGACTGGTTGTGCGCTGTGGCGACACTGTTGTTAGGCGTTATGTATTGACTGATCTGTTGAAGAGTGGGTATTGGAGCGGAGCGGAGCATTCGACGGGTCGGTGGGAGTGATGATGCGACTCTCCGTCTCCGTACACCAGTTTGTCTACACACGACACAAGAGGAATGTGTAAGGACGGGCTTTGATGAGACTTGGAGGTAAGTCAGAGTCGAAGTGGTCTGCATTGACCACGTAAGATGCCGACATCAGCGATCACAGGCTCCGTGACGGATCGCCATCAGGTCGTCATCTGATCACTATGAATCATTGGCGATTGATGTTCTGTGTGGACCAGCATTAGTGCATCAGATGAGTGAGTGGAATGTATGCGCTAATCTGAACTAGTCATGTGAGCAGTTGTTCCCGGATGGCTTGTGTTGGAGCGTGACAACTGTTTGGAGAAGTACGCCACACGTGACGATGATGAGATATCAGTCTGCCTGTGTATTGGTCAGTTCGGTGTGACGCGATTCTCTTCGAATTCGCTCATGTCTGTGGGACACGGGATTTGAAGTGTGTTATTATTCTACGGTTACTGCTAGTAATCTGGATGGTGGACGATGGTAGTGAAATGGTTTAGGCAGTGCCCCAGTATATTCGTACTTGTGGAAATTGACGAGATCGGCATGTCAAATAGATACGTGTAGGTATATATATGGTATATATATGAATATATACATGTATATGTATATATGTACATATAACTATATACCTTCATATGTATATATTTAGATATGTAGATACGGATTTATAAAGTGCATGCACAATGAATTTTGTGTAATTGATCTAGGAGAGAGCGAAGTGTGAGAGTGTTTGGTTGATTAGAATATTGAATGTGTTGGTGTGATTTGGAGGTGTTAGCAGTAAGTGTGGATAGGTTGATGTAATTTGAGAATGTGCGCGATCCTCATGTGTCGTACTAGTAATGTAGTAGTCGGAGTCGTAGTCGTAGTCGCACTGTTTGTTGTTGATGTGAAAATGTAGTGTTTGAGAGAGTGGATGTAGTGTGAGTTGTCGGATGTTGAGTGTTTGTGTTTGAGGTGTTTGAGGTGTGTGTGTGTGTGTGTGTGCGTGTGCGTGAGTGAGTGTGGATGTGGATGGAGATGGTTTGTGTAGGATGTTTGTGAATAGTGTTGTGATGAGGTGAGTGTAGGAGGCCGACGGGGAGGCCTCCATAGCTCAGTGGTTAGAGCACTGGTCTAGTAAACCAGGGGTCGGGAGTTCAATTCTCCCTGGAGGCAGAGTGTTCACACTCGCTTCGAATTGAGATCATGTTCGAGTGGTGTGACTTTTATGAACTGTCATCACTGATCATGAACCATGACGAAACACCGACTCGTGCGTGTTCCACTCGACACTCACAAGTTCGCGTGCAAGTCAGCATGTACTCGGAACACTGATGCTGACGATATGTCCACCTGTCAACAGCACTGTGGTCAGTTGAATTCATTGGAAATCATCGAGGCGGTCTGGTTGTTTGACTAATCCTAACACGAACTCACCGAAACGCGAAGCGTTGGATGTTGAGCGATGCAGCGAGAGAGGAGCGAATCACGCGAAACCTGTTTTTCACCCGACTCCGATGCATCTGGAGTACATGAAACGAGATGATTATCGCCACAGAATTGTGTGACTGGTTGTGCGCTGTGGCGACACTGTTGTTAGGCGTTAGGTATTGACTGATCTGTTGAAGAGTGGGTATTGGAGTGGAGCGGAGCATTCGACGGGTCGGTGGGAGTGATGATGCGACTCTCCGTCTCCGTACACCAGTTCGTCTACACAAACACTTGACAGATATTCGCAGACACACACGACACAAGAGGAATGTGTAAGGACGGGCTTTGATGAGACTTGGAGGTAAGTCAGAGTCGAAGTGGTCTGCATTGACCACGTAAGATGCCGACATCAGCGATCACAGGCTCCGTGACGGATCGCCATCAGGTCGTCATCTGATCACTATGAATCATTGGCGAGTGATGTTCTGTGTGGACCAGCATTAGTGCATCAGATGAGTGAGTGGAATGTATGCGCTAATCTGAACTAGTCCTGTGAGCAGTTGTTCCCGGATGGCTTGTGTTGGAGCGTGACAACTGTTTGGAGAAGTACGCCACACGTGACGATGATGAGATATCAGTCTGCCTGTGTATTGGTCAGTTCGGTGTGACGCGATTCTCTTCGAATTCGCTCATGTCTGTGGGACACGGGATTTGAAGTGTGTTATTATTCTACGGTTACTGCTAGTAATCTGGATGGTGGACGATGGTAGTGAAATGGTTTAGGCAGTGCCCCAGTATATTCGTACTTGTGGAAATTGACGAGATCGGCATGTCAAATAGATAGGTGTAGGTATATATATGGTATATATATGAATATATACATGTATATGTATATATGTACACATAACTATATACCTTCATATGTATATATTTAGATATGTAGATACGGATTTATAAAGTGCATGCACAATGAATTTTGTGTAATTGATCTAGGAGAGAGCGAAGTGTGAGAGTGTTTGGTTGATTAGAATATTGAATGTGTTGGTGTGATTTGGAGGTGTTAGCAGTAAGTGTGGATAGGTTGATGTAATTTGAGAATGTGCGCGATCCTCATGTGTCGTACTAGTAATGTAGTAGTCGGAGTCGTAGTCGTAGTCGCACTGTTTGTTGTTGATGTGAAAATGTAGTGTTTGAGAGAGTGGATGTAGTGTGAGTTGTCGGATGTTGAGTGTTTGTGTTTGAGTTTGAGGTGTGTGTGTGTGTGTGTGTGCGTGTGCGTGTGTGTGTGTGGATGTGGATGTAGATGGTTTGTGTAGGATTTTTGTGAATAGTGTTGTGATGAGGTGAGTGTAGGAGGCCGACGGGCAGGCCTCCATAGCTCAGTGGTTAGAGCACTGGTCTAGTAAACCAGGGGTCGGGAGTTCAATTCTCCCTGGAGGCAGAGTGTTCACACTCGCTTCGAATTGAGATCATGTTCGAGTGGTGTGACTTTTATGAACTGTCATCACTGATCATGAACCATGACGAAACACCGACTCGTGCGTGTTCCACTCGACACTCACAAGTTCGCGTGCAAGTCAGCATGTACTCGGAACACTGATGCTGACGATATGTCCACCTGTCAACAGCACTGTGGTCAGTTGAATTCATTGGAAATCATCGAGGCGGTCTGGTTGTTTGACTAATCCTAACACGAACTCACCGAAACGCGAAGCGTTGGATGTTGAGCGATGCAGCGAGAGAGGAGCGAATCACGCGAAACCTGTTTTTCACCCGACTCCGATGCATCTGGAGTACATGAAACGAGATGATTATCGCCACAGAATTGTGTGACTGGTTGTGCGCTGTGGCGACACTGTTGTTAGGCGTTAGGTATTGACTGATCTGTTGAAGAGTGGGTATTGGAGTGGAGCGGAGCATTCGACGGGTCGGTGGGAGTGATGATGCGACTCTCCGTCTCCGTACACCAGTTCGTCTACACAAACACTTGACAGATATTCGCAGACACACACGACACAAGAGGAATGTGTAAGGACGGGCTTTGATGAGACTTGGAGGTAAGTCAGAGTCGAAGTGGTCTGCATTGACCACGTAAGATGCCGACATCAGCGATCACAGGCTCCGTGACGGATCGCCATCAGGTCGTCATCTGATCACTATGAATCATTGGCGAGTGATGTTCTGTGTGGACCAGCATTAGTGCATCAGATGAGTGAGTGGAATGTATGCGCTAATCTGAACTAGTCCTGTGAGCAGTTGTTCCCGGATGGCTTGTGTTGGAGCGTGACAACTGTTTGGAGAAGTACGCCACACGTGACGATGATGAGATATCAGTCTGCCTGTGTATTGGTCAGTTCGGTGTGACGCGATTCTCTTCGAATTCGCTCATGTCTGTGGGACACGGGATTTGAAGTGTGTTATTATTCTACGGTTACTGCTAGTAATCTGGATGGTGGACGATGGTAGTGAAATGGTTTAGGCAGTGCCCCAGTATATTCGTACTTGTGGAAATTGACGAGATCGGCATGTCAAATAGATAAGTGTAGGTATATATATGGTATATATATGAATATATACATGTATATGTATATATGTACATATAACTATATACCTTCATATGTATATATTTAGATATGTAGATACGGATTTATAAAGTGCATGCACAATGAATTTTGTGTAATTGATCTAGGAGAGAGCGAAGTGTGAGAGTGTTTGGTTGATTAGAATATTGAATGTGTTGGTGTGATTTGGAGGTGTTAGCAGTAAGTGTGGATAGGTTGATGTAATTTGAGAATGTGCGCGATCCTCATGTGTCGTACTAGTAATGTAGTAGTGGGAGTCGTAGTCGTAGTCGCACTGTTTGTTGTTGATGTGAAAATGTAGTGTTTGAGAGAGTGGATGTATTGTGAGTTGTCGGATGTTGAGTGTTTGTGTTTGAGGTGTTTGAGGTGTGTGTG